TAAAAAGATTTTGCCAATCCAGAAGGACTTCTGCGGAAAATGGATGCCCAATTGAGAGGGGCCCTACGTTGTCAAAAAGGCCTTCTCCGGGGAGCTTTGATTTTGGCAGAGATGGATGGAAAAGTACTGAAAAACCCAACAAATTCAGACTCGGTCAAGAAATACTACACCTAAAAAAGAAAAAAGAAAAAAAAAGAGGTTCAAGGTGAGAACCCGTAAAGGGTGCCTTGAAACAAATGCAAGATTTGAGTTGAAAACCCGAAAGGGCGGCTCAAATGCATTTTTGATATGGAGGCATCCGACAAGTAACCTCCTCTAAAGACTAGTTGTTCGTGAATGACTTCACTTTTTCAAACAGCTCTTCCACCTTGAGATCTCCCAGACAAAGGATTGACTCAGGACGTTAAATTAACTGATTCAGGAACACTTGTGCTAGAATTCGTTATGACATATTCTTTTGCTTCCAGAATCTTTGTTCAATTCTTTTGATTACCATGACTTTGTGTAAAAATCAATTCAATTAATAAATTCCCTGATTATCATTTCAATTTTCAAAACATTCATTTTCGCGCGCCATAAAATTATCTAAATTCTAAACAAATGATTTTTTTGTATTACTTTGCGATTAACCCATGAAAATATTGGAAATCCAAGGTCGTCCATCCGGTCGATATTTGCACTAGTTGAAGAGAGTGATTGATGAGAGAGCGAGACAAGAAATTACAGAAAGATTATGAATCAGACACTGAGTCAGCAAAAACGAAGACTTGACGAGGATAAAGAGAAAAAAGGGCACGTGAAACCCTTAAAACCCAAAAACTCATCATACACACTCATGCATTCATCAAATAAGAGCACACGTATACATTTACATCAAGTTTTGAAAACATGACAGGAACTCAAAGAGTCAATGAAAGATTCATTTCGCAACTTCTGCAAAGGATCAGTCAATATCTTGCATGGATTGAAGCAATATCAAAGACTGGGAGGTCATTGCTTTCAGGTGTTTTAAACACCAATTCACTGACACATGATAAACTTTTACAGGATTAAATCTTCAAAGAGAAGATAAACCATTCAAGATTTCTAGTGGAGAGTTCATAATGAGAAGAACTCATCCAACTAGGGAGAAGAAGTTCATAATGAGAAGAATTTGTTCAACCTTGGTTCAAGATTTCCAGTGGGGAGTTCATAATGAGAAGAACTCATCCAACAAGGGAGAAGAATTTCATAATGAGAAGAACTTGTTCAACCTTAGTTCAAGATTTCCAGTGGAGAGTTCATAATGAGAAGAACTCATCCAAAAGAGGAAAAAGAAGTTCATAATGAGAAGAATTTGTTCAACCTTGCATCAACATTTCCAGCGGTGAGTTCATAATGAGAAGAACCCATCCAATGAGGGAGAATAAGTTCATAATGATAAGAACTTGTTCAACTTGGGTGATTCCATCACGGAAGTGGATTGATATCCCCAACGAAGAGTTCATAATGAGAAGAACTCGTCCGATCAGAAGAAATTGGAACTCAAAATTTCACTGATGGGCCAAACAGATGAAAATTGGTGCTTTCGTCTTTGCTCTATTCCTGATTCACAGCAACAAGCAAAGAGGGGCAGCTGTAATCCCCAATTTTCAAATCAGAAGTCAAATGCAGTTTACCAACTTCACCTGCTCCCATCATCCCTTGATTCCTGCAGAGACATGCGAAAAATCACCGAAACATTTGTAATATTTTATGATTATATTATGTAAAACATTTGGCTATAAAAGCCAAGAAAAATAATATGAAGGGATCAGTTTTTTTTGTTTCCAGTAGAAATACAAAGCAGTTTTGCAAGGTAGTGGTTTTTTAGTTTTTATACTTTATTTCGAAACAACAACGTTCAATTTTTTTTATTTTATTTCGAAATAACAATAATATTTGATTTTTTTCGTTTAATTTCGGAATAATAAAAAGCATAAATAATATGTATTTTATAGTAAGAAAATAAAAGAAGTAGGAATCGAGGCTTACTTGAGCCAAAGGGGGCCTCGTCGGAGGTCGCCGGAATTCGGGAAAACCGAGCGATTTCGGGTACTTTAAGGCTTTATTTGATGGTTTTACTCCTAATGAGGGTTCCTAATGGGTAGATCTATTGTTCCGGGGTGATTTGAGTCGATTTTAGAATTTCCAGCCACCGTGTACGGAGGCCGGAGTGGCGGCCGGCCGGTGGTCGGTAGTTGAGCAAGTTTGCCGGCGGTGGAATGGTTGAGAGAGCTTTCAAGAGCCCTTTCCTTTTTTTTTGTGTTTTGGGTAAAAATGAAACAAAAAAGAGTAAAGGTTGATATATATATAGACTAGATTAATGGTAAAATTACATCTTAAATGCCTCTAACTTTCCCTTTTTTTACATTTTAGTCACTGTAAGGACCGAAATTGATCTTTAACCATTTCTCTATGCATGCTTTATTTTTCTGGTAAATTTACTGTTTCAGTACCTTTAATTTTAGAGTGTTTTTACACTTTGGTCACTGCATCTTTTATTTCTATTTATTTTTTTTATTTTGGCATGCATTTTTATTTTATTTCGATTTAGTACTTATTAGTCTTAATGTAGTTACTGAATTTTATTTTTTTGCATTTTGGTCCTTGTTTACTTTTTTATTGAGTTACTTTCTTTTATTTTCTCGCAATTTAGTCATTATATTTAAATATTATTATATTTAGATCTTTGTATTTTAATTTTCTTTATTATTTGTAATTTTTATTATTTTGTTTAATTTTAGTATTTATTTGATTTATTTTGTAATTTTATTTTAATTAGGATTAATATTCGAATCAAACTCAGAAATTAGGATGACACTGTATTTTAATTAGGGGGCAATTCGAGTCGAGTTTTCGAGTCGGGTTTTCGCATTATACCCCCGAATACTCGAATCAATTGTTTGATTAAAATTAATTAATGATTGATATTTTCTAAAAAATTTAGTTTAATAAGTAGGTTAATCCCTTCACTTTAAAAACGTTCAAGTTAGGTCTTTAGATTTTTAAATCTTTTAGAGCCCGTTATTTTAGTTCTCTGATTTTTTAGTTCCCGAACTTCAATTAGACTTTAAATATTGACATAATTAAATAGGTTAAATAGAGCCTCCATTTTATCTTAGATTTTAAAGTAGTCTTTTAATTTAGGGGATAATTTGAGTCGGCCCTCGCGTAAACGCTCGAGGGACCATCTCAGTTATTTGATTCAATAATTAATTAAAATTAAATAGGATTAATATTAGAGCATACATTTTAGATTTAAGCCCTTAGATTCTTTAATTTTCATAATTTGACACCGTAGGTTAGAAAAGAGCCTTAATTTATTTTTAGTATAATTAGGATTAAATAAAATTTTGCTTGATCGTATTATTTTTATAAATCTAAGGCACTGTTCACTTATTAAGGAATTAATAGTATATCTCCCGCGATCACGTTCATGGGGTGACTACTGGTAATTCCCTAAATAAGTCGACATCCTTTTCAAAGCCACATCACGTTTTTAAAAAAAACGAGGCAATGTTCATTTATTAGGCACAATAACTGATCTCCCGCATTTACGCTCGGGGGCGAATGTTATCGGTCTCAATAAACGAATATTCTTTTCAAACTTTGCATCCTTAATGATTTTTAAATTAAATAAAATCGAACTCAAAATTTCTGATTTTAAATATAGGGTAATCAACTAGGTACCAATTTTTGGGCGCTTGTGGGGGTGCTAATCCTTCCCAACGCGTAACTGACTCCCGAACCTGAATTTTGGATTTTTTGCAGACCTAAAGCTCGGTATTTTATTAAAATGAAATGTTTTATTAAAATCACTCGGTTTTTACGGTGTTCCAATCTCACCTTAAATGATTGGTGGCGACTCCTCACATTTTTAAACGATTTTTAAAAAGAAAACCCCGAGTCGGTATCGACCTTTCCCCGCCCGGGCAAAAAACAGTGTCGACAAGTAGTCTATTTTTTCTAGAACCAAACGGACCCTAAATTTTCTTAACCCCTTATATGGAATAACTTTTTTCCAAAACATTAGTTGGAAGATAGTTCTTTGACTATAAAACGTTGTTTTGTTATGTCTTTCAATTAATAAAGGTTATAAAATAATCCTCTAATTATAGGGTGTTATTTTGTTGAGTCTCTAACTATTAAAAGTTATAAAATAGTCATTCGACTATTCATATGTTCTATACTCACTTTTTCGCTAAAAATTGACGACCGTCTGAGTTATACATTAACATGCCCATTAGAATATGATAAAATCTGATCCCAGAATTGTTTGAGTTGTATTTTATGAATCAAGTCTCTATTTGCATTGTATTATCGAGCCAGTGCTAGGAACATTATCCCATCAAGCTAGTCTTGAAAGCAACAACGATACTAACAGAAATCATTAAAATAAAATTTTATCATATATCAATTAACAAATTAATGTCCAGCTCTGACAAATGTCAATTTTTTAATTGAACGAGAAAAGTTTATAACATATAGATAATATAATGACTATTTTGTAACTTTTAACTGTTGATGACTCAACAAACAACATCTAATAATAATAAAATTATTTTATAATTTTTAATAATCGAATAATTCAATAAATCAATATCATAAAATCGATAAACAATTTTTGTATTTTACCTTAATTATAATTAGAATCATAAACTAATAAAATTTTAAAATAATTAAACAAATCTAACCGACAGATTCAATCCAAATTTTTCAACGCGTAGAAGAATGTCACTCTTTAAAGTTCCATTCTCTCTGGTAAGAACAGAACCAACTAAAGTTCCACAGTGTAAGCGCACTAAACCCATCCCAACAAATAACGAGGTTGACAAGTAATCGACTCTTGCAAGAATTTAAGAATATTTTTTTATTCGAAAAATCGAAAGCTCCATCTATGCAAGCAATGTACAGAAATTCCCATATTTATAATATAAGACAATCTTATTTCTTTTTTATTGGTAATTGAAAAACAGCAGCTGACAAATGTGTCCCAGTTCTCTCTCTCTCTTTCATTTCATATCAGAAGTAGGCCAGCACATGGAAACCACACCACAAATTCGCCCTTTTTAAGTGTTTCATTCTTTTTGGCTTTAAGACCAGCTCTTCCCTTGTAAATTAGGTGATTTTCATCTCTTTGAAGACTCCGTAGCTTTTCCTTTTGCCCTTTTCTCTCTCTCTTTTATCCATGGATACCGCTCAGTGGCCGCAGGTAAAAGAAGGGTTTCTTTTCGTTTCTTTTCTCACATGAAATCATGATTTTTTTTATCTGGGTTGAGTTTTTCAAAGCTAATTAGCTTTAAAGTTTCACTTTTTTTTTGTCATGAGATGATATTGTTCACCCCCCCCCAATAGTTGAATTTATGTTATTGTCTTTTAAGATCTTTCATTCTTTTTCTCTATGAGAAAGTACTGCACCTTTTCTCTTTCATCCGGGAAAAAGTTGCTATTTTTATTTGTTTTTATTGATGGTGTAAATCTTTCAAACTGCAAAGCAGCGTCCTTTGCTTGTTTGTTTCTTATGTCATCTTTGTTATATTTACATCTTTTTGGAACAAACACTTTTTCTTTTACCATGAAATCATGGGGTTTTCCCTTTTTCTTTTGAAAAATTTCAGGGAATTGGGGTAGTTAAGCCCGTTGAAGCTTCAAGAGGAAGGACTAGGCCTCAAAATGATCAAGCTTTGAACTGTCCAAGGTGCAATTCAACAAATACCAAGTTTTGCTATTACAATAACTACAGTCTTTCTCAGCCAAGATACTTCTGCAAGACATGTCGGAGGTACTGGACAGAAGGTGGTTCCCTCCGGAATGTTCCCGTCGGAGGTGGCTCAAGGAAGAACAAGAGAGCTTCATCATCACCAGCTCCTCAAAACCCTAAGATCAATGGAGGTCAAGACCTTAACCTAGCTTACCCACCACCCACTGAAGACTATAATAATACCTTACCCAAGGTCATTGAGGTGCCCTATAGCTCATCTTCTTCAACTCCAACAGTACATCTCAATGCTTTGGAGCTGCTCAAGACTGGTATTAACTCAAGGAGTTTGAGTTCTTTCGGGTTCCCAGTGCAAGAAGAACTCAAACCGACTCTCAATTTTTCTCTCGATGGATTCGGAAGTACTAGCTATGGAAATCTTCAAGGGATCGAAGAGAGTGGTGCAAGGCTTTTGTTTCCTACTAACGAATTAGAGCAGAATAGAGGGCAAGGAGAATCTTCTGTCAATTGGAGTGAAATGTTGGGTGGAGGACATTGGTGAAAATGAACAGCAAAAAATAACAATATGGTTAAAAAGGACGAAGATGGAGCTGATGCTTTTACATGGTCGGTACTAGTTGATGTTTGATTACTAATTAACAGCTGGGATTTTAGGAGGGGAATGGGGCATTACTCTTTCTTTCTACTTTAGCTTTCTACCACCTTTCAATTCCCTTTCTTTTACCTGTAATGCTGTTGTACCTTTCTCTTTGATCAGTGTGGATGTTTGAAGCTTCCTTTTAGGTTTGCTTCAATAGATTCATTTTAAGTGATCTGAGTAGGATACACCGAATTGGGGATAGTAAGCTGAAAATTTCAATTATAATATATTTAGAGATTTTCTTTTTACTTGATAATCTAAAATTTTATAATTTTACTTCCTCTTAATACAACTTCATTCTCTTAATATAAAATTATGAATTCTTCCCTAGTCGTGAAAGGAACTAGGCTACTTTGCTTCTTGGGGTTGCATTGACCACAGTTACACCCAATTTCATATTGTTCACATGTTCGGTTTCCACCACAGCCTGGGTGTGTGCCATCAATGGATTCAGGGTGAGTATCACAAGTAATGTGAATAATTAACATAATGAGATTTGAATTTCAAAATAGAAATTTGTTCAATCTGACTCAACTACAGTTGCATCCGCTTATGTGTGTCATGTTGTTGGGTAGCCTAAAAACAATGTAATTAGCAGCTGGATAACTTTGGTTGAACTAAGAAATTGTGATTGTCTGATGGGTTTTCTTTGGTAATATTTTTGGTTGAGGACGAAGGGAGTTGTCAATCAATTTCCAGCATTAATTTCTTGTTTTTATATCTTCTTTTTTCTTTTCGATGGGTCACAAAATGTCGGGTCTTATCGGCAACATCTGGGTTCTGAGAGATTCTTCCAACTCCACTCCCACTCTTAAAAGCAAAGCCTTCATTAGTAAGCGTGTACCGTATTGAGAAGGAATAACCTAAAAAAATGTACAACTTGGGTTAGATCTGACCCCATCCCTGCACATGCTTTTCTACTTTCTAAGTAGTCTTACTACCACGGGCGGGGTGGTTCTGCGGTGCGGCGCCTAAAAAACGGTTAATATACGGTGTAACCGGTTAAACAAGTGACCGGTTAAAATTTAGACCGGTTATGTTATATTATTTAACCGAAAATATTATAAAGTACAATAACATATTAGGTAGCGCTTATATAATGTAATAGGTAGCGCTTATATTTACCTATTTTATAAGTAAACCGGTATATTTATACCGATAGCATTGCAAATTTACCTATTACATTATATTATATTGAAAGTGTCCATACTTTTTATAAAAAGGATCGATACTTTAACAGTGTTTCATGTTTTCCACCTACAATATTGATTTAATAATTTCATTTGCACAAAAAATTATTTGATTGTTTTGATATTTTATAAAATATTATTTAGAATTTTTAATTTAATAATAATATATACCGTAACGTAAAAAATAAATCATTAGACGCCTATAATTACTAAATTAATATCTTAAAACTCACTCAAAAGATAACCTTAAATTAATGTTTTCCACAGTGAAAAAAGTATGGACACTTTTATAAAAAGGATAGACACTTTACAATATAACCACTACCTATTGCTTGGCATCATATGAGATTTGGATTTTGATTTCCTTTTGCTTGGCACCATATGAGCTTTGGATTTTGATGAGCATCGGAAGTATTTCAGACTTATGATTTGGGTGGTACTCAACTTATGATTTTAGTTGCTATTTGTTACATTTCTTGTATACCACCCAGATCATACGCCCGAAACGTTTCTGACGCTTTAAAGTTGACCAAAAAATAAAATGGTCGGGATTTCCCTCGCGTTTATACGTTGGAAAAAAACAATGGAAATTAGGAATAATCAATGATAACATGCATATTGGCTTGGGCTAATATTTATAGTGGAGCCGAAATATATATTGAAATTCAAACTCAAATTGAAATTTAAATTCAAACTCCAATTACATATGAAATGAATTTGAAATGCAATGTTAAATTGAACATGAAAATTGCATAATTGATTCATACTGTTCAAGTAACATGCTTTATGAACCATCAAGCTAAAAGACAATATTGATTGAGTTCAAAGCTGAGTTGTGAGTTGATGGAGTTGTCACACTTGTCACATGGTTGGAATAAAGTACTCACATGCGAGATAGATACCTATTACATTATATAAACGATACCTATTACATTATATAAGGGCTACCTATTACATCATATGTTTACCTATTATATTGAAAGTGTCCATACTTTTTATAAAAAGGATCGATACTTTTTTTAAAACTTATGTAATTTATGTTTCAATTTTTTTAACAGTGTTTCATGTTTTCCACCTACAATATTGATTTAATAATTTCATTTGCACAAAAAATTATTTGATTGTTTTTATATTTTATAAAATATTATTTAGAATTTTTAATTTAATAATAATATATACCGTAACGTAAAAAATAAATCATTAGACGCCTATAATTACTAAATTAATATCTTAAAACTCACTCAAAAGATAACCTTAAATTAATGTTTTCCACAGTGAAAAAAGTATGGACACTTTTATAAAAAGGATAGACACTTTACAATATAACCACTACCTATTACATTATATAAACGATACCTATTACATTATATAAGGGCTACCTATTACATCATATGTTTACCTATTATATTGAAAGTGTCCATACTTTTTATAAAAAGGATCGATACTTTTTTTAAAACTTATGTAATTTATGTTTCAATTTTTTTAACAGTGTTTCATGTTTTCCACCTACAATATTGATTTAATAATTTCATTTGCACAAAAAATTATTTGATTGTTTTGATATTTTTTTCAATATTATTTAGAATTTTTAATTTAATAATAATATATACCGTAACGTAAAAAATAAATCATTAGACGCCTATAATTACTAAATTAATATCTTAAAACTCACTCAAAAGATAACCTTAAATTAATGTTTTCCACAGTGAAAAAAGTATGGACACTTTTATAAAAAGGATAGACACTTTACAATATAACCACTACCTATTACATTATATAAACGATACCTATTACATTATATAAGGGCTACCTATTACATCATATGTTTACCTATTTTATTGAAAGTGTCCATACTTTTTATAAAAAGGATCGATACTTTTTTTAAAACTTATGTAATTTATGTTTCAATTTTTTTAACAGTGTACTGCGAATTTAAAATGATAATATACTTGTAGTTATTGTACATACCTAAATATGTACTGCGAATTTAATGTTGTACCCACCCTTTAACTACAGAAACATGTTCAAAATGAACCTTCGTTTACATATCCATCAACTCCTGGAGCACTGAACTTGCACAACAAAATTTTTGCCATGGATAATACTGATGTAGACAATGTTAAGCCAACCGAGGAATGCCATGAAGTACATAATGTTGATGAATCTGACAGATTGGTTGGTCAGCTCTTCTGTTCACGTGATCAAGCTTGGCAATTTTACAAGGGATTCGCACGGGAACATGGGTTTAGTGCACGTAAGGGAACAACACGGCTTGACGTGGAAGGGAATGTGAAGACACAAGAATTTTGTTGTTCCAAAGAAGGTTTCGAGTATCAAAAGTCAATACTGTTGATCGTCAACGTGCTCATACGCCAGTCACAAGAACAGGATGTAAGGCTAGAGTCGTAGTTACATCAACAAATACAAACGATCAGTGGGTTATAAATAAGTCTGATCAGAAACATAATCATGCATTGTGCACATCTGCTATGACACCATTTATGCGTTCTAATCGAGCTGTAAGTAAGGCTGATATCGATGAGGCAACAACATTGAAAGAGGTCGGTGTTGGCACGTCACAAGTAATGAACTATTTAACGCAGCAGGCAGGGGCTATCATAATGTTGGATTTACACATAAAGACCTCTACAATGCACTTCAAAGAGGTAAAGCAAAGGAAATCGTCGATGGGGATGTGAATGCGCTTATTGCCTACTTTGATTATAAGAAACATGATGATCCCGGGTTTTTTATGACATACTCGGTAGACGAATCGGGGGCATTGTATAATCTTATTTGGTCGGATTCTACATCGAGATCGGATTACACATGCTTCGGTGATGTAATTGCGTTCGACACAACGTACAAAGATAATTTGTATGGTCGACCAATTATGCCTATTGTTGGTGTCAATCATCACCATAACACAATTGTGTTTGCCACTGCCATAATCGCTGACGAAACGTCTCAATCTTTCGAGTGGGTGCTACAGAATTTTTTAGAAGCCATGATGAATAAATCACCTATTTCTGTTGTAACCGATGGGGATAGGGCAATGCAGAGGGCTATCAAATCTGTTATCCCTTATGCTAAGCACAGATTATGTTCTTGGCATCTTTCTCGCAATGCACAAGCTAACATTGGTGACCCAAAGTTTACAGCAGCATTCTCAAAATGCATGGCTTCCTGGTGGACAACCAAGGAATTTGATATTCAATGGCGTTCGATTATTTCAGAATTCAACGTCCAAAAGCATCCATGGGTGATTGAGAAGGGAAATACACGACACTTATGGGCACAAGCATATCTAACCGGTCATTTCTTTGCCAATATTCGCTCACACAAAGGTGCGAGTCTATGAATGCTTCACTAGCTATTGCACTGAAACACAAGAAGACATATTTAGATGTTGTTCGTGCAATTGAAGATGGAATTAGTAGAATGCGTATGAACGAGTTGAAAGCGGATTACTTAAGTTCCCATACGAAGCCCTTCCAGATCACAAAACTGGTCGACCTTGAAAGCCATGCCGCTGCGATTTTTACCCGCGAATCTTTTCGTGTGTTCCAAGATGAACTTACACGGGAGACATTGTACCGGATTGAGGCAGAGATTAAGTCCTTATCAGATGAATGTCAACATTATATTTTGTCAAAGTACGCAGAAAAAAATAGGAAATTTGAAATTAGTTTTGATTCTCGTACGAAAACTCTAATTTGCTCCTGCAAAAAATTCGAGACCGTTGGACTTCCGTGTCGCCATCAACTTCACATTTTGAAGCAATTGGACTACACATATTTGCCCGGGACTTTGATTCAAAGTAGGTGGACTAATGATGCGAAGGCTTCTGCACCCAGCTATGTTGATTTGAATGTGTCTCCAGAAGTGATGCAAATGGCAAGGTTCGCTGCTCTACGTTCAACGTCAAGTAGGTTATGCTACATTGCATCAAAGACAGACGAGTCTTTCAAAACCGCAAGAGATGAGATGAAAAAACTAATAGAAGAATTAGAAAACTCGTTTGGTTTGAATCATTCAGTCAACCAGAGCATTGTAGT